TTGACTGTTGATCTGAGAAAAATGATGTCTTAGATAACTTCAATCTTTTCTCCATTTATCTTGATGGCATTTAGTGAAGCCATTTATAGTTTATAATAATGAAACTTAACAACTTTTCTCTCAATAATACTCCCTAATACTTTCCAACCAGCTACGGACTCTTTTCTTAAATTTTTCATTTTCTCATTTCTGTGTTTTGTTTTGTTTTTGCCTGAGAAGTAGCAGGTTTTACTTAGCTTGATGGACTGCTCCAGAGAGTTCTCCATCAGCCTACCAGTGTGTATGTTTTACTTTGAGCTAATCTTGACCCATCTCTTACTCTTATCTTGCTCACTGCCCTACAGAAACCCTGATCATATTTTGCTTCAGGAAACACATTCAGTTCATTTGTATGTGCCATTTATTCTGCTCAGAACACCCTGCTCCTGTCAGGGACTGGCCTCGACATAGTTGTGTTGTTCACGAGTGTTTGGTTCACAAGGAGGGGAGATCTGGCGGTGATAGGGATAGCAAAAGAATACACAGACAGACAGAAGGAGGGGGACAATGAGGCACCCCGAAACCAGGGTGGATGCATCACTGGTGGGTAGACTTGGGACTACAGGCATCGTGGTCTCTGCAGGCAGCAACTCACTGCCCTGCAAACTGTACTACATGCCCTCCAAGCAGTAATGCACAGCTGGGCCGGCCTGGGCCTCTGTTTTATTTAGGGAAGGAGCTTCACACCAAGCTGGGAGGGACTAAGACAAGGTACAGCTGGCATACGTAATTCTCCCGACATTCAGGCAACTTTACATCATACTTCTCTGGTTCAAATCCCAGGCCTGCAACTTAGTTTCTCAGGCTCAATTAACAACATATCTATAGCCCCTGAGCTCAGTTGGGGCAAGGTGAAAGGGAAGGACAAAAGGCTTGGGCAGAGTCCCGCTGTTTTGGCTTCCTGAGCCAGGTTTTCAGGAACTTGGCTGAATAACCTGCACTTGGGAGAGATTCAGGGAAGATGGCTTTTTTGTCTATAGAACAAAGACCCAGAAGTAGTTAAGCCATTTTAGTTAATCCTTTGGAGAAAGGCTTTACTCTTGAAACCTTTACAGTCTGGGCTTTTAGGAAAATATCACATTTATCTGTGGATATCAAGGGCTCCATGTATGAAATTAATAAGTATAACTGAACACTAAGATGAAAAACAATTTGCCATTAACTGCCAAGTGGCTAGATCTGTTCCTCAGAGCCTGTGACCTGTAACACTCGGGCCTATAGGGCCTCGAACTTCTGACCAGGCCTACACAGTCTGCAACATGCTCCCACCCTGGAACCCCCGCCTAGCAGGTTTTGTCGGTATAACTTCTATTTATCTTTCATCATTCTTACCAAAGTGTTGCTAGGTGCTGCTGAGTCAGTTCAGATTTATAGTGACCCTGTGCACAACAGACATTGTCTGATCCTCGCACCATTCTTACCATTGTTGTTGTGTTTGAGCTCATTGTTGCAGCCATGGTGTCAGTACATTTTGTTGGGGAAATCTTCCTCTTTTTTTGCTGACTATGAATGTGACACACTTCCTCTTCAATTTGTCATTCAAGACATAGTAAATCATACGATTGTCTCATTCAAAATGATTAATACCAGTTCACTTCTGTTCATTAATGCCTAGGATATTGATCCTTATGTATTCCATTTCATTTTTGATGACTTATAGTTTTCCTAGATTCATAGTGAGTGCATTCCATGTTCTGATGGATGTTTGCAGCTGTTTTTTCTCATTTTGAGTGTGTTCCATCAACAAATGAAGGTCATGAAAACTTTGTTCCATTCATATCATTAAGGTTGACTTTAATTTGAGGAGGCAGCTCTTCCCCAGTCATATTTTGAGTGCCTTCCAACCTAAGGGGCTCATCTTCTCGCACTATATCAGACAATGTTCCTCTGTTGCTCATAAGGTTTTCAATACTGTCCCTTCAAAAGTGTCTGCCTCTCCTTCTTACTGTGTCTTAATCTGGAAGCTCAGCTGAAACCTGTCTCCATGGGTGACCCTGATGGTACTTGAAGTGCTAGTGGCAAAGCTTCCAGCATCACAGCAAATACACAAGCTACCACACTATGACAAATTGACAGATGTGTGGGGACTTGGTAAAGTAGAGGGTCAACAAAAAAGAGGAAGACCCTCAGGGAGATGGATTGATACTGTGGTTGCAACAATGGACTCAAACATAATGAGAAAGAGGCTGAGGATGCAGGACCAAGGCGATTTTCATTGTGTTGTACATACATGAAGTTACTAAGAGCTAGGACTCACTCAATATAACAACAACAGCATCCTTCATGCATTAAACATTATTTCTTTACAAAGTCTTCCTTGTTTACCCCATGTCTACTTTGCACATTAGTTTAACTTCTGTTAGTGGTTCTGCAAGAGAAAGGACCTAATAATATGCTCCTGTAAAGATGACAGGTCAAGCAAAGACCCTATGGGCAATTCTACTCTATTACATGGGGTGTCTATGAGTCAGGATGAACTCAATGGCACCTATCAACAGCAGACCTTCTGAAAACTCACTGCTCTATAGCTGTTATTAACATATTTCTGTCTACTTGATTTTCATGTTTCTGTTTTGGCTGGGGGTGGGGACCATGTCTGCTTTACTTACTGATATCTCCCACAGAAAGTGCAGGTTAAGGCACATGATGCTGTTAGTTGCCACTAAGGAGACTACAACTCATGGCAACCTCATGAGTCTCACAACAAACCACTGCCCAGTCCTGGACCGTTGTTATGATTGTTGGAACGTTTGAGTCAAGTGTTGGAATTGTTTTGTTAGTCCATCTCATTGAGGGCTTCCCTTGTTTTTGCTGATATTCCATATTACCAAACAAGATGTCCTTTCTTAGAGATTGATCGTTCCTGATGACATGTCCAATGTAATCAAGTTGAAGTCCTATCACCCTCATTTTCTTAGAAAGCACAGATTAGGTGCTCAAAAAGAATTGGTCCACATTCAATCATTTCAGGAAGTACCATATGATCAAGAACCAATGGTAGTGAAGAAAGGAATTCAAGCTGCCCTGAAGCATTGGTGAAAAACAAGGCTAGAATTGATGGACTATCCACCGAGATGTCTCAACAAATCAAAGCAATGCTGGAAATGTTCATTCATCTACACAAAAACATTTGTCACACAGTTACCTGGCCAACCAACTGGAAGAGATTCATATTTATGCCTCTTCCAAAGAAAGGTAACCCAACAGAATGAAGAAGTTATTAAATATAATTAATATCACATGCAAGTAAAATATTGTTGAAGATATTTTTGGAATGGTTGCAGTAGTACATCAGTAGAGAACAGTTAGAAATTCAAGCTGGATTCAGAAGAGAACATGGAATGAAATTAGATGGATCTTGGCTAAAAGCAGAGAATAACAGAAAGCCATTTACTTATGTTATATTAACTATGCAAATGCATTCAACTATGCAGATCATAAAAAACTATAGGATGCATAAGAACGCCCAATCTTGCCGGTAGTATCCATTTGACCTAGCCTCGATGACTTGATGATCAGAACTCGACTTGAGGAAAATAAACAATTTTTGAAACAAGTGTAAATTGCTACAATTTGATGAACTTGAGCTATACTCATGGATGTAGTAGCTCAAAATGCCAACTGAGAGGGAAGAAGTGTTTACATCAAGTATCAATCCTATCCCCTCTGTGTACAGGGTAGATTTGTTGTTGTCAGGTGCCATCGAGTCGGAACCAACTCATAGCGACCCCATGCACAGCAGAACGAAACAATGTCCGATCCTGGGCCAACCTCACTACCACTAGCACACTTGAGTCCATCAATGATGCCACCTGGCCAATCCATCTTGTTAGGAGTCTTCCTCTTTTTCTCTGACCCTCCACCTTACCCAGCATGACATCCTTCTCCAGCGACTGTTCCCTCTGGACAATATGTCCAAAGTATGAGAGATGAAGCTTAGCCATCCTGGCCTCCAAGGAGCACTCTGGCTGCACGTCTTCCAAAACAGATCTATTGGTTAGACATTGGCTACCTAAAATGAGGGAGTGATAAAAGGCACGAAGTTACTGGCTTGCAAGTTTCCAAGAGGGAGTTTAGTTTAAGAGTTTGCAGGGCAAGGTAGAGTCCCCACTGAATTGTCCAGATGGGTCTGGTGAAAGGAGATGGGGATAAGATTCTTATGATTCAGTAGTGAGCAATTGTTATAATGACTAATTGCAACTGTCACAACTGTAAAGGTAGAAGTTTTATAACAAAAACGGGGAAGTAGTTAATCTTACAGTCCAGTAACAGAGAACCCTAGGACCATCAAAGGAGAAGAGCATGAGCAGAATGTGGGACCCTATCCAGAGAAGCAGTAATACCAGAGATGGAGACAGAGATGAGGATATGAAGAGAGGGAGTCCCTGAGGACTCTGGACTCATGAATAGAGAAAGGCTGCATGCTGGTGGCCAGGAGGCAGGCTTACAGAATGTGCCATTTGGTTGTTTAAATTGTTATATATCTTTGAGGGCTTTTGTGTACACCCCGCCCCCTCAAACAACAACAACAACAACAACAACAACAACAACAAAAACCCCAGAAGGAATAGAAGCAGACTGTTGAATGATTATGCATGGAGGAGATTGTAATCATTGTAATGAAACAATAGTGTAAAATTTATATTCTCCCATGTAAACTATCATTCAATTCACAATTAAAGAAAACAAAAGCCAAAAAGAACCCATAGGTAACATTACAAAGAAGGAGAATTCTAGAACACTCAGTTATGCTTATTTGGAATTTGTACATAGACAAAGGGGCAGTGGTTTAAACAGAACAAAGAAATACTGCAGAGTTTAAAACCAGGAGAGGTGTGGGTCAAACTTGTATCTTTTCACCATACTGATTTAATCTGAATGTTGAGCAAATGAGCTGAGGAGCTGGTCTGTATGAAGTATTCAGTATCAGAAATGGAGAGAGAATCATTACTAGCCTACAATATGCAGAGGACACAACCTTGCTTATTGAAAGTGAGGTGGGTTTGAAGTGCAGTGATTAAGATCAAAGACTACAGCCTTCAGTATGGATTATAACTCAACATAAAGAAAAAAATCCCCACAACATCATGATAAACAGATAAAAGATCGAAGTGGTCAAGGATTTCATTTTACTTGAGTCCACAATCAGTGCCCATGGAAGCAGCAGTCTAAGAGATCAAACGATGCATCGCACTGGGCAAATCTACCACAAAAGAACTCTTTATAAAGAACTGCTAGGTGTGGCTGCTATAGGGTACGCACTAGAATGCTAACCACAAAGGTGGCAGTTCAAACCCACCAGATGCTCTTGAAACCCCTATACAGGATCACTGTGAGTCAGAACTGACTCAACAGCACACAACAACAACAACAACAACAGCTAGAAAAGAAAATAAAAAAAGAAAGAAAAAAATCTGTCTTGGGAGAAGTACATCCTAATGCTCTGAAGAAGGAAGATGGCAAGCCTTGGTCTTCCATATTTTGGACATGTTATCAGGAGGATCCAATTCCTGAAGAAGGACATCATGCTTCATAAGGTAGAGGGTGAGAAAGAAAAAGTTAAGATCCTGAACTAGATGGGTTGACACGGGAGCTGAAACAGAGCCTCATTTGTGAGGATGGTGCAGGGCTGGGTAGGGTTTCATCCTGTTGTCCATAATTTCGCTATGAATTGGAACTGACTTGACAGCATCTAGCAACAGCATCAACAACAACATGGTGAATGAATGTGTGGACAAATGCAGAGAATTTTATCTTGGCTTTTACTCTAGCTGTAAAGTGTGAGCTGCTCCTCCACACTGGCTGTCACTGCATATTGAAATAACATCATTTTTCTCTATTTCCTGTAGATCCCAACCCATTCTTCTTTTTTCAGAACTGGATCTTGATGTTGGTAACATCATTGGAGAGGTACCAAGTGACCAGGGCTTTTGTTTTTTCAGCCAAAGAAGAAATCGGAGTTGCCTATGTGTGTTGCCTGGAGCACAGACGTAGAGGGCGGGAGGTGGACGAACTCTGGTTGTAAGGTCATTGAATCTTTGGAGAATCAGACCTCCTGCAGATGTCATCGGATGATGAACCTGGCCATCATTGTAGCCCATGAGGAGATCACGGTCAGTACCAGTGGTCTGTGGCCTGGCTCTCCAAATATCTGACCCCAAATTGAATGGGAAAATAGTTACTGAATACCTATTATGTGTCCCTCATGAAGCTGTGTATTGTAGGAAGGAGTCATGGGGACAGAAAAGGTATGTATGATGCCTTTTTTCTTGGAGAATTCATAGAACTTGTGTATGAAATGAGGAATTATGACCCTAAACAGACACAGGCACAATACCAATCCAAACCCTATTAACTCAGCACCTACTGTGTACCCGACCTTTTAATCCTTCATAAGGAGCCTGTTACATTCGGTTTTGTCAAATCCATCTCTTAGCATTAACACTGTCTAGTCATGAAGCCAGTGAGTGGTGGGATTTGAATTCAGGTCAGCCTGGCTGCAAAGACCATGCTCTTTCCACTAAATCATATGGCTGGAGCAAGAGATAGTGCTGTATGCATGCAGAGGTGTTTTGGGAAGAGCTGGGAAGAGATCAGGAAGGATAAGGAATGCTCTTTGAGTCTGATGGAATGGCTGGATTTAGTGGAGGAAGAAAGCATCTCTCATCAGTGCTGCCTCTCTCTCTCCAGATGTGAGGTTCAGTTCTCTGTCAAGGAGCCCACAAATGCAGTTTAGAGAACCACATGTCTCAGAACAAAGAGCTCCGAGGACTCATGGTTAAGAGCTCAGCTGATAACCAATAGGCAGACAGTTTGAACCCACCATCAGGTCCATGAAAGAAGAGACCTAGCAGTCTGTTCATGTACAGATAGATGTAGACTTGGACAGTCTAGACTGTTGTTAAGTGTCGTTGAGTCAGTTCTGACTCATAGAAATTGAGTTAGAAACTGTATAGTGTTTCCAAGGAGTGGCTGGTAGGCTTGAATTGTTGATCTTGTGGTTCACAGTCCAGTGCTATATCCTACAGCACCTATGTTGTCCTATAGAATCACTATGAACCAGAATCGACTAGACTGCAATACCCACCACCACATGGCTTCAGACTTCAGAGGACTAGCTTAGGGCTGGTCTACTTTTAAGTCCCATCTCTGTTGTTGGTTTTTTTTCTTCACTGTGTGACCTTGAGCAAGTCACTT